GCCCCCCGCCCCGTGCACATTTCGGCCCCCCGCCTCCGGCCCGCTCAGCTCCTCCGAGGCCTGACGCCCAAGCGCCCGATTTCCACTTGCACCAGCACGGGCGACCGGCGGGAACCGAGGGAAAGCAAGCGGGGTTTATGGCTGCTTCGGAAAAGTTGAGAATGGCTGCGTTCTGAAGAGGACGGTCTGCACGCCCCGCGCCCACGCACCCAAGCACACTTACACACACATGTGATCACATACACACGTAGATGGTGTTATCCTCGTCCGTCTGGGGACAATGATAGCAGGTGTGTGTGCTCGAAACAGAATATAAGTATATTTTTTTCTGGTTACTCGGTCTAATAGTGCAGTTATTTTAACTTCTGACATCCAAAATAATCCCTAGTGTAATGTATTTGACATTACTTTTGGAAATCATCTCTAGAAAGATGGACCAGCTAGAACATGTGGTAAATACCTTACATTTAATATATTTCTTTGTACCAAGATAGTGATTAAAAAGTGCTGTGGCACTGGAAATTGCTAAATAATAAATTTGTGCATTCATGTCGTTTTACATAGAAACAAAAAATTACCTCCGACTTATTGATTTCATAACTCATTTTATTTTCATAAGTTCATTTTAACATGAATTATACCCGACGTTTAGTCGATTCTTCAACTTTGCAGCTATAATTCAGTTTTTTATATAACAGGAGCTCTGAACGACTTTTTAGCAATCAAGATCATTATAACCTTCTCGAAAGTTGAAGCTATATTTATTCGTACAATTCCCTGAATTCACTTCATTTAAGTTCTTCTGGTGTTATGTAAATGTAAAGAACCTGAAGAACAAGGTTTCAACAAAGTCTTCATGTCAATGAGGTTGCGCATTTACAAAAATAATTCAACTGAGCTGCTGATGATGGAGAAGGCTCATATCAACAGCGTAACTTTCTTCCCTTGATGTTATGTACCAGTAAAGAAACATTTTTTAAAAATTACTTTTTAAATTATGACGAGTGTTTTCTTTCGTTTTATGACGTGTATTTCTTTCGTTCACCTTCCCCATAGCAATGAAAGTTTCAATAATCCCTCACCTGGACACATCCTATTTTCTCCCATAGATTGAGATGCTCTCTAGTTATGCATTCTATTTCAGTCTTGTGCCATCCTTATTTCTGCTTTAATCTCTTACACATTGGTCATAATTCCCGTAAGTGTCTTATCGCGGAAGGTGGCGGAGATTTCCTCAACCAGGTATCTCCCCCAGTGGGGCACCGCTACACACACAACAAGCTATAGGCTTTCATCTGGTCTCATCCAGATGAAAGCTTAGGGCACAAATTCCAACACACATTAACAGATTGATGTAAAAACATTGTTCAAAATTGTTGGATTAAACTTGTAAACTGATATTGTAAAGGACGTTCAAAGCAGGCACGGGTCTGATTGACGTACTACATCTTTAATTTTTCCAAAATTGCAACTGTTCAATTTTTTAGCGTCTTCCAACAACTACGATACTGAAGATTGAATAACAAATGGAATTAAGGAAAACAGTTTCTGTCAAACCTTGTTATAAGGTCTTGTACAATTTTTAGAAAATATAAACAGTTTTCGCATAACATTGCGTGAAATAAGGATAATATTTTAACAATTATTTTCTCTAAAGCGGTTTCAATTTTTATCTTAAAATTGAATCTTGTTATGTATCAAAGAACGGTAAGTATAAAAGTGCAGGTCCAATTTTCGGCGAACTCCCTGTGAAAATTGCAACATGTTAAGATTTCAAAATCACAATATTCAAATCATAGATTTAGTCTTTAAATAAATTTGTTCTAAAATATTAAACCTTACAAAATGCCTTGAGTATTTTTTTTAAATAAACGAGTAGTTATTGCGAAATGTTTGATGAAAGTTACGAATTTATAAAAAAGCTCAAAAATGACACGAAATTTCTTGTTTAAAATTTTCCTCGGATGGAGAAAGGAACGCTTAAAAATGACGCAGATCATAATTTCGTTCAACTTTCTCAATTTCTGAAAACTGCATAAGATAAAAAGATAAAGGTTTCTCCCTTTATTTCTAAGTGTCGGCAATGTTCAGCTTCTGGTAGTGTGGCGGTAACGTACATATATTGACTCGAAGGATCTGAATTCAAAACTTGGCGCGGGAAAAAGTTTTGCTGCTTGGAAAAACTTTTGCTAGCTCATGTTGTAGTATAATATTGCTTAACCCTAACAAGCGAGATAATTTGCTGTTGTAGCATCACTAGTTCCTAAATAAACTTGCATTTGTTACAATACAGTTAACTTTGAGGAAGGCAGAATGACCGGAACATTTTTCAAGACTACAATACAATCGACTCTTCTCTGTTCCGATACCCCCCTCTGTTGTTGAAAAAATCCATAAATTAAATTTGCATCAATAAATTCCAAAACTTAACTATTTCAAAATTTATTTGCTTACCATAATAAGTATGAGGAGGAAAATAGTTTCCACGACTTCTATGATAAATTGATACCCTAGTATTATTGAATTTTCGAATCCTAGCATAAAGGCGCACTCTCTGTAAAGCTGCCACGAGTCTTTCCTTCGCTGGCGTAGCATTCGCTCGATTGTGGCAGGCAACAGTTGGTTTCCCCCACGCTTCACTAAGTTTCAACCGGGCGCAACATCTCATAATCTGCTGACTCGACTAGAAACGAGGCATTCAATCAGGACATCGAACCATAATTCATTTCGCTTTGGTTTTCACATTACCTCATCGCAAAAGCCAGATTTCTTTTTGGGTCGTCATTTTCCCCCTTTTACTTTCATAAACATTAACGTACAATATAAGTATTACAAACAAAAAATCAAAACGCAATTGTTGAATTGCGATCAAAATAAACAGCATGATCTCCAGATTGAAACTCGAGAATTCAAGTCATGCGAGTCTACCATAACTATATCGCATAAAAACAATTACACGTTAAGAACGATTTCCAGCAGGAGGTCTCGCCTACGTCATAAGGTCATTAGTCCCCTTCTGTTCAGTGCATACGTTTATAGTGGGAGGCGGCGGCAATCCTCCACCGCTGGAAGGTGAGATGCGGCGACGACCTACACGGCTGGAGTACTTTCCCGTAATCAGGGGGAGTCTCCACCTGATAGGCACAGCCCCAGCCGGGACATGTTCTAAGCTCGCGATTGGTCTCCGGGTGTGTATCGCAGTAGTAAGTATACCTGTGTAAGTAAGGGGTGAGGTTAGGGCAGGAAGAGGAAGGAAAGATTTTGTTAGGGTAGTGCTCTGGCATTTTCGTGAAGTTGATCGGAGAAACCATCAGAGTAGCCGGCCGCTAGAATTTCCCTCCAGACAGCGGTTGAATTCGTCTTAGCTGCGTAGCTAGAGTGGAACCATAGGACCTCCCGGTCAGAGGCACTGCAGTGACATCAGTTGATGCCCTGAAGACTTCCTGGGAATCACGTCCAACGCATCTATTGTCGTGCCTCTACTCCGTCTGTTTCCCCACTCTGCGCGCAAAAGTATAATGGTGACTGTAACCGTACAAAAGGGTCGTTTAAAAAAACTGAATTCAAGTAATTAGCATTTGAACATTATTTGCATCTTATAAAATTCAAAATCACAAGTAAATACTTCATTGGGAATTCATGAACAGTTTGTTAAAAAATAGATTCATTATCATGGCTATGTTTCTGAACTTTATTGTTCTTTCATCAGGGATTGAATATCCAAACATATGAAAATTGGTGATTCATCAGAGCTAGGTAGTGGCATATGGAAAGATCAAAGTTCTGAAATATTGCCTAGCTAAATAAATGTATTTCTTGACCAACTCCTCATGAAGAATTTGAAATAAAATATTTTCATCCCGTATTAAGAACAAAACAAAATAAGCTTCAAAGAATTCGTAGCTCAACCTGTTATAAAACCCTAGGTCCTGAATGCAGCCACAGGATTCGCGGTCGGCTGAACACCCTGGCAGCCGCTGTTCATGACACGTATCTACGCGGTTCAAAATGGAAAGTCAGCCACACACGAGGCGCCCCGTGCAGCAGATAACACTCGCCTACCGCACGGCCCGAGTACACGAACAATGATTATTATTTCGTTTTTCCTAGTCATCAACTGCTATGGTTATTGTTTCCTGAGGTGTAGTGTATGTTATTCCGGAGGATGGCTCAGCTTCTCCTCTGTAGATCACCTGGAACATGAGATTTGGCGCCGTTCTACACGTCAGCTTTCAAGTTCCTCCCTCAAATATCTCCGCTCGAGAGGCACCGCCCCAGCCGCGACTGGCTGGACTCTAAGCTCTCAGGTGGCCTCCCGTCATGTTTGTCAATGTCATGCTTATAATTGTTTGAGTGTGTGCATGTGTCAGAGGTGAAGAGGGAACAAGGATAAAGAAGAAAAAGATTGTGCACGTGGTTGTGATTGTGTCCGGTGTTTTAAGATGGAGCCTGCTGCTCCGGCATTCTCCTGGTGTTCATAGGAGAGACCACGCAAACTACCAATCGGAGCAGGCGGTCGGAAGAATACTTCTCCAGACAGTGGCTGTGTGTCTCCTTGCTATCTACCTAGGGTCAAAAATCCGGCACTGCCGGGACTCGAACCCTGGAAAGTTGACGATCAACGCGCTGCATAGTAATATGCGCCTCATCACACACACGCCTTTCGCAATATCCATATTGCAAATTTCTTGCATTTAGAATGCCTCCTAAAACCAATAACTTGATCTTAACATGCCGGCGCACTGGAGAAGGACCCTTTCGGGGTGCCTTTTCCCAAACAATTGCCACAGAATAGAGATCTGATAACGCGGCAAACTCAAGTGAACAAGTAATAATGCAGACTGTGAACTACTTGTGCGAAGCTTGTAGTTGGACATATACATAATTAATTGCTGATAGTGATTATTTATGAACATAAAAAAATGTGGGGAAAAAAGCATCGCCTTCAGAAATGATGTGAAGTATATACTAGTAGTTCGTATTAACCGGCGAAAGCCAATTAAGCTTGAGGCCTGATGGATTTCCCATCAGGCCGTTTCTACTGTGCCCTCTACCCACAGGCTCATCAATCAACCATCAATGGTTTTCAATCCTAGGTGCAATACGTGGGGAAACATAAGATGTTATTTTTTATTTCTAAGAGTTCAAGCACCGTAATGTGATGGGTTACCACAAGGATAAATAAGAAATAATAAATTCACAAAATTATAAATACGAACAATGGGTAGAGAAAAGATACAGAGGTGAGTGTTAATTGGAAAGATTATAAGGAAATGTTAACATAATTAATAGCGGGAAAAATACAGAGTATGTTGATAAATAGTGCAGCGACAGGACAAGTGAGCAAATTCAGTGGGGGAGAAAATAAATTACGAACGTTCTTACTGACCAAGAACCAAAGAATACACAGATACTGTATTAAAAGGTGAGTAACCAATCAGGAATTAGATTGTGTGAGAGGAACTGAAGGGTCTGCGCACTAGAAACGAACAGAACACGCCTTTGAGTACACTTTCGCGCAGATAAGAGACAGATGAAGCGCGTGCAAGATAAACAAACAAGCAGACGCTGTTCTGACACGCTGCGAGTCGGATGTAAGAGGGGAAGCTATTCTGATGCGGTAGGAGTCGGACTGAATTGTTAATTTGTAAAGGGGATGTTTTTGACGGAGTTAAGAATACGGGATGTTGACGCGATAGGTTTTGGATACAATCTTTCACGAGTCAGTAATACTTGTTATACAGTTGTACTTTCCCTTCGTGAGTAATGGGGGGCGGGTATATTTTTTAATTTTGCATTTTAGAAAAACAAAGTCTTGTATAAAAGTAAGAATTCTAAATTAGTAATTACGAGGGAAAAGTGGTCATACATGCAAAAGGGAGGGATTTATACAGAGTATTTATTATATAGTAATAGTAAGATAATTTATGTAAGAAAAATTGTGTTTATAAAAATTGTAGTTTTGAAATGGAATATTTGTATCAATATGTATGTTTCACAACCTAATACAAATGGAAATGTTGATAAATTGAAGAATATATTATTATTCAAAACAACAAAGAGAGTTCTCAACCCTACGTAAGGAGGAAATAAATAAATTACTTTACCTAAATGTTTCGTCACCGAACACCTGCATAGACGGTCTATCGCACTCGCATATTTTTATCGTGACGGCGCGAACGTGGTTCAACTTTCGGGCAACAGTCGGGTGAAATTTAAAATAGTAAAAAAGGAGAATCAGTATACAAAAATGTACCACGAACGGTCCCCCAGTCAGAGAAGTACACTTTAGTTTCATCTAATCTATGGTAGCGAGTATATTCAGGCAAGTTTGATCGCATGCATACTATCTATCACTAAATAGCCTCCCTCCAAATTATTACAATATCCAAATTGTCCATTTTACGAAACTAAGATCAGAAATAGTAAAGGTAAAGCCATCCACCTCTCGTTTAGATAATGTGATGCTTTGGAGAAAACTTAATAGTTAATATTCTAATTAGTTTAAACGTTTAAGAAATATCTGTAACAACAGAGGGTATTCAAGAACAGGAACGTGGCAGGGGAAATGACACCTACGCCGGGTTTGCAATGTTTCACACTATCCGCAAAGTTTATTTTCGGTTGGTTATGTAATAATGTTGCTAGTTCGAATTATGATAGTAAAGTGGTAACTGAGCAAGCTGCACTGATCTTTTAAAACTCTGTTAAAAAACAGCCGGAGTATCGTTGCTGACGACGCTGCTCATTCATCCATCCTGGGCAGAAAGAGAGGGAAGTTGTCATATGGAAGAATTAATATTGCGACTTTGGGTATCATTGAGTAGCGAATTACTCAACATATTTTTTTTTTTCATTTTCATGTGTAATTATCCAGAAAATCTCTGTTTAAGTTGTTTTTATTGTTAATTTTTATTTTTTTATTACAGCGTCATCGATAGCAAATGCGCCAGCGTAAACGAAAAAAAGAGTTTCATAAAAAAGCTACGCATTTTCTTGGAAGAATCTGAATATGCAATATAAAAAGGCGGTTCCATTTTAACTATTTTTATTTTTCCAGGGGGGTTGGGATGATGTTCGACTGGTAATTTCGATGGGACCCGCCTATGTGAACAACTTTCTTTACCCACTTTTTTGATTCGATGTGCACTTTTCAAGATATTCTCAAATCCAATTTTAAATGAAATATCCTGTATGATGCTCACAGTTCGAATCATTACGAGTAATTTCTCGAGAACTTCTGAACTACTACTTTGAACCTAATCCAAGTTTCTATTTCTGAAGGTGCCTTCAAAAATGCGTTTGATTTTTTCCTCTGAGCATAGAGGAAATTGTTTAGACATTTACAAGAATTTCAATTGTTATCTAATGCCTTAAAAATGCTTCATTAATCCCAATTTAATATGAATGGAAAGAAAATACATTCATTATAATCTACTAATTTGTTTCTTATAATGTACTTGGACCCGGCATCAGTGTGTTCCTTACAGGTCATTCTTCTGTTGTCCAGTTACTCTATCTCGGCTGCCATTCACAAATGTGACATGGGCACTTTGTGTTGTTGTCCTAACTACATGCGTAGAAACTGTAAATCACCACAGTTCACCAATTTATGTTCCTTGTAATTTTCCACTTTTGTTTCTTGAGTATCAGTTCAAAGTTATCATTCGTATTCATAAGATAGACGGAGTGTAGGACACTAATGTTAGAATGTTACCCTTATATAGGAACACAGTTTAAACTTCCCTTACTTGATCAATGGAAAGCCTCTATGAATCTATTTTCTGGTCCGCTACTAACTTACTGATGAGGTTTGAAACGTGAGTGCAATATACTAAGAATTCTTGGTGATTAAAATCTGTTATAGGTCTTTCTCTCGTCTGTAACTCTAAAATACGTTCCTGAAACTGGCATACTGTTTTCTTTCAGTAATGACAGTAGAACTTCAGGAGCACTCTTTGAGACATCTTACTAAATCATTCAGTTCATTTTGTGTCGAAGTTGTGGATTTGTAATCGGCCTTTTTTCTAATAAGTGTGCTGAATCGACTGGGAATGAACTTGAATTAAAATGCAGTATCTGGAAGTCCAAAGTCGGATCCAGTTAGAAACGTCAATGCCATGTGGTTCAGATCTTTTAGCAGACTTCAACTAAGAAAAAACTACCCCTTTTTTATTATGGCTCTTTTTACTTTACAAATATTAATTATTTAAAAATATAATCGCCATGATGGTTCTTTTTGCCAAGGCCCTGCCAAATTAACTCTTTATGCTTTATGCTTTCCTCTTTCTCTTTCACTAGCTTCTTAACTCTGCAAAACAAATAGTTTACACTTAATGAGAGGCTCACGGTTTATCCTGCCCAAATGTTTTAGAAAATAAGCGTCGTAAACACTTATAGCAAAGATGTTATGTTCTGGCTCTGGTTTGCAATCGTAAAACGTTTACAAACACATGTATTGCAAAATGTATTTACTGAAAATATAATTACAGAGTTTATTAAAATTGCGATGTGATAGGATAAAAGTTAGGGCACTTTTGGATTCAGGAGACCAACTTGCATATAAAATAAATATCAATATCAAAAAGGAAAAACCATGATGACCCGTGTTATTATTAAACATAGTAAGTGTTAAATAAATAACATTTACCAGCGAATTTAAACTTGACAGTCATTGCACAATTTTAAGTAGTGATCTATATTTCTGATATGATGATTTTGGGGTTGAATTAATTTTTCTCTATCAAAGTACGTTTTGTGCAAAATCTAAATGAAAATGTGATAAATAAGAGGCACGCTTACATTGTCACAAAGGAAATAAAAGGTATGGAAAGAATATGTCAGGGGCACTGCCACACGATCAATGACACATAACTAGAAGAGCTCGCCTGTGGCAAAGCGTAGGAACACTGTGGTTTTGTCTTTCATTCGTACGGAATATGGGTAAACATCAACCACTAAATTCTTACTAGAGGCTTTGCTCCCAAACGATACTCAAGAAAACGACCATGCGCTGCTTCAGACTTCAGGCTTGGAGCCATATGAAGCTGTAGAGGCAAAGCAATTCACCCTCGCCGAGCTACAGAGAGCTGTTAGACGCTGGAGACGAAGGAATGCTCCAAGCACGAACGGAATTGACCTGGTCATAAGGGACACGGTAGTAAAGGATGGAGGAGAGGCTCGGTTAGGCGCCCTCGTACGAAAGGCTGCCCGCAGGGGTCCAATTCTGTTTTGGAATGTAGTAACAAACACCCGTCTGACGGCTGGTCCCGTCCACCGTCATGGCCATACATATGCAGATGCATATACATGGATCTTCCCGCAGAGATATGGTTGCGGAGGCAGCGACCACTCCCAATGATTGTCCGGAAATGGGTGAAGTAAAGTAAACTGACCACTGCGACTGCAAAATCGGCCTGCGTGGTTATTACTACACACGTAATGACAGAACCGGAGAATACCCATTCCTCAAAAGGTAGTTCCCCGCTGATATGAATGATAAAACCAGCATTACCCACGTTTAAACATAAATTTATTTACGTGTCATGGTTGACGCGACAGTGTTCTTTATTCAGCAGTTCGAGTTCAAAGGCCAGGTAGTTCTTATTGTTAGTGATTCCGGGCGCGTCAACTGCGAAGGTCATTAGTTCCGTAAGTGTAGTGCATGTTTTGCTCGGCGCCGATACGGCGCTGACATACCGTCGGCTAGCGGAGTTTCCTTCAACCACCAGCGGGGTAAGCTCTAAGAACCCGACCGGTCTCTCGGCATATGTGGTAGTGTAAGCGTGTGTAAGGGGAGATAGGATTTCGTGCGATCCATGGCCCGTTTGTTAGGTTGCTGCTCCGTTTGTTAGGTTGCTGCCCGTTTGTTAGGTTGCTGCTCATTCGCCTGGTGTTGATCGGAGAAACCACGGAAAGCTGCCGATCAGGGCTGCCACCGGCTAGAATTCTCCCCCAGACAGCGACTGAATTCGATCTAGCTGAGAAGCTAGTGTCGAAAATCCTGCCACCGTCGGGACACAAACCTAGGACCTCCCGGTCAGAGACACTGCAGTTGATGCATTGAGCCAACCCTCCCAGTACTCTTGATGTTCACACGGACTCTCTTCTGTCGGTCGTTCTCTATTGCACACCGGTGTGGAGTAAAGCGTAGATTGTGCATTCATCAGCCGAGAATGGACAAAACAGAGCGCGACGCACTGATTTGTTTAACAAAAACCTTTAGTACAGCGGTAATGGCTATCCTTCAGTCTCTTACGGGACACATGCCCCAAACCTGATGGCAGATCGCACTGCTGGCCGATATGAGATCAGAAAGAGACTTTTATCTATACAGCGGTAGACAAGGCTCATCGGAAAATGTTTGCACTAAGTATGTACAACTTGTGCACAGCGTAGTAATTTATTTATTTAATCCTTATAGAAAATAAAAACTGCCTGTAATGAATGAGGAAGAAGTACAATTGTGGGCACGCAAACTATTCACATTGCGCGTTCAACAATGATGTTCGGGCCTGCAAAGCCCGGAGTGCGTGCGGGCGTAGGTTAAAGAGGGCATACTTTTAGGCTGAAAGTTTTGCGACTGTAAGAAATAATACTTACTTGATACTTTCTCTGATACTTTTTAATATTTGATACAATATAAGATTCAAACTGAATCTTCCAGAAGAACTTTTGTTTTCGCTTCCGTAGCTTTGTTTCTAAACCAGAAAAGGTAAGGAAATAATTTAGTCTTATTTTCATGAAATTGAAAAACAAAGTCAGATTTTTCTACTGTAGGTTATTAATCATAGAGTGATGAATTCCAATTTGTTAAAGGAACGTTTTATGATTTAAGGTCCCATCACTACACTATTATAAAGGAGGCCCGGGAAAAATTTTGCCCGGGTTGGCCCGCGCTTGTTTCTGTGTTCAACGTTGTCACGCCTTTAGTAGACCGCTCCGCCTTGAACCCACCTGCAGGTCCGCGAAAGCGCCTCGACTGACGCACGAAGTGCGCCTGCCTCCCACCCCCACCCGGAGCGAAATTCCCCGGCGCGAGCGAAGTGCGCTACGTCACGGCCTGCCCCAGCTGCTGCTGCGGAGCGGCGCGGGAGCGCTTGTCCGCAAGGCCGCGCTGCAGTGGGGGCCGCGGCGCAGACAGCTGCGCACGGGCGGGCGCGAGGAATCCGGCGATGCCGCGGGCGCGCTGGGCGGCGCTGGAGCAGGCGCTGCAGCAGACCCCGGCGCCGCGGCGCAACATCGGCGCCCTCGCGCTGCTCCTCGGGGTGAGTGCGAGGCATCTTTCGGCTATTAGCGGCCACCGACTTCATATTAGAGTCCTGCCCAACCAACCCCCCACTCCTCTCGCATCTAGTGAAACGAGGGCTCAAGAAAACGTGCGCGGGTAAAACGACGGCGGGCTGTGCAAGCCTGCCAACTGGAGCTTAAAAAACTACTACTTCATTCATTGCAATGGCTAATATTTCAGCCCCGCACGTTTTCTTGAGCCCTGGAATACCTACATCTAATTCTTTAACAAATTATTGGACATTAGTTGCATTATGAATGAGTGAATGATAGAAAAATATGATAAATGTTTGACCTCGTATTATAGAAACTATTTTGCATCCAAAAACGAGGTACACATTTCATTTGCTCTATTAATCTTTGGTATGCGAATCTAGCGTTGCATGTGAATCTAACATTAGAAGGTGACATGTATGTTTTTTATTTAAAAATCGGTATTTGCACACTTATGAAAAAACGTAAAAGTGAGAAGTCAGACATAACGTTCATTATTTATTCGCTAGCATTACTCACAGTTTTATTTCTCCAATTTACTTGTAATTCTTCAAGTTAAATAAGTTACCATGCAATACTGTTCATAGGTATTTGCAAATTCATTTTTAATACTACAATAATAATTCAATTCTAAATTGAAATCGAACTGCAGCGCGATTTAACTGGTAATTCAATTGTTCTCTTAAATATACCAACATTAGTGTTGCCAAAGTCGTGAAAGAAAATTATGGCGTATTAAGCAAAAAAATGCCTTTGGGTTCTGGTATTTACTCAATGCCATCTACGTAGATCGATTTAGGAGGCGTTGGTTTAATTCCTGGCATTGTCACTAAGATGGCAGCGCCAAAACACGAATTAACACGTTTTTGGTCATTTGTTTAAATCTTCTAGCGGGCTCTGAAAGCAAATAATGAGGAGATGGAGACGCGTCGAACGACGCCTCATACGTCTCGATTGGTGTATGGGAAGTAAGCTAGACGCCAGTGACGGCATGACCCCCCCCCCCCAAAAAAAGGGAAAAAAGAAAAAAATGAAAAAAAAGCACGCACGCACGTGCACACACAATAAATAATTATACTGTATAGTGATAATTTCTTTATTATGAACAATTCACATTTTGCGCTAAGTATTGTAACTTACTTGTATTAATTGTACGTATTTTAAACTATTGACCTTCTTTAGATCATATTGAAAGATTACGCAATATATTGAGTCAATCCAAATGTGTTTGATATTTACTGCGCAATCTAGAAAATATTTTCGTCTGTGGTTAATATTGCGCAATACTGCTTCAGTATTCAATGCAGCTTCACAAGAGAGATCATCGACTAAAATAGCTACGAGTGCAAAAAGAAAAGAGGAGTTCTCTACAGTTTAAATCATTTAACGTACAGTAGCAGTAAGTTTTGAAAGACATATTGTCTATGGACCGCTTAAGGAAGCTAGTTGCAACCTGGAGTAGAGTCAACCGAATTATAACGTAAGTCGTGAATAGCGGAGTAATAGTAATAATAATAATAGTAGTAGTAATAACAGTATTAGTAATAATAATAGTAATATCAATAATAAAATTAATAATAATAAAATTAATAATAATAATAATAATAATAATAATAATAATAATAATAATGGTAATAATAAAACAGTCGCAAGTAATATCACTACTTGAATCATCAATTGAGGAATTCTCATTTTCTGAACGTACAACAGAAATATGCCGACTCAAATTGCATTAAAAGATTAATATTTAAACATGCAATAAAATTAAAATTTCAGAAAATTTTAATCCTGTGCAATAAGCACTTCAGAACACATTCCGTTTAATCTTTGGCTTCAGTTGGTTTGTTCTGGTTTATAATAATAAATTATAATGGGGCATACATGAGGATTCAATTAAGTTCCTCTTTGTCCATGTACCACGCGTGTTTTTGTCCATCACCATGGAGTCATCCCGCGTTCGGTACCGGTGACAGTTTAGCTCTTCATGCGCCGCTGCGCCTCGCGCCTAGACCGCCAATCGCATAGAATCCATTGACCATTGCCTAACGCCAATCTCTTTCCCATACGTAATGACATAACGTATTTTTCTCCTGGGTTTAGCTGAAAGCCAGCATTGCCGCTGGATCTGCAATGACTCTGATCCGGAGGTCGTCGGGCTCGAGTCCCGACGTTGGTGTATTTTCGACTCTATCTGCACAGTTTGAACGTAATCCATCGCTGTCAGCAGAATTCTAGCGGTCGGCTGCTCTGATCGGTAGTTTTCTGTGGCTTCTCCTATCAGTCCCACGCGAGTGGCGCAGCAGTTTCTTAACAAACGAGCCACGGTCGGCACGCGATCTTTCTTTGTCCTACCCTCTCCCCATACTCAGCTACACTTACATGCACCATTCAACCACATACGTTGGGAGAGCAGTCGGGAGCTTAGAGCCTGTACCGGCTGAGGCGGGGCCCCGCTTCGGGAAGTTATTTGAAGCGGTAATCGCCCGCAAACCGACGGTATGTTAACGCCGGATTTCATCATCCTGGGAGAGAGGGTGCACCTCCAACACGAGGTATAAAGCCATTCACCACACTAATAGGACTAATGACCATAGGAGTTGTCGTGCCCGGACACAATGAATCAAAGCGTGTGGCAAGGCGCATGGTGCTTAGTGCGGCTAAATAAATATTACTATGAAAATGCATGTCGATAGGAAACTTAAGCAATTTAGAAAAGACTTAACAGTTGAGTCATATTGGGTTTTCCATAAAAATAAAATATATAACAAGTTTGGGTAAATAATGTTAAGAAACTTAGGGTATTAATTTAGTTTTACGGGTATGTCGGAATGCCAGAAAAGTACAAACTAAGGATAATTCTTTTCATTCTGTCTTATTGTTTTTTCAATTACGATAGTTTAAGATCCAACAGAAGATATCTCTTGCTACTGGGATTTAGTGATCGTCGGGGAAGTGAGGCCATTCTTAAAATTACCTACAAGTTTTCAAAATGTTATTTTTGATGTTGAAACTTATAAAGCTATTTCTAGTTAAATTTCCTTTTTTTACATTTTACAATGCAAAAAAGTAGAGCATGCCTGTTTTTAATGAACAGTTATATCTGTAGCTGACACTCTTTAATGTTGTGGAGCTTGATTGAAAGTGATTTCGAGCTGTGAATGGGCCAGTCCTGTTTTTGATTCTGATTTTCTTGTAATCCTTTAATTATATTATCAATGTTATTTGTGAAAGAGTTTATATCATTGCATTCATTGTTTGCCGAATTTTAATCTGCAATGTTATGATTCTATGTACCTTCTCGCTACGCTTCAATCTGTGGGTGGTTCGCTGAATTCTATTTAATGGTTTATATCCAATCTGTGCTTGAAAATTGTTTTGCCTATTGGATGTTTGCCTAAAATGTTTCTTCGGTGATCATTAATTCTATCTTTCAGATTTCCAGTTAGTCTGTCCCAGATATTGCAAATCATCATTCCAGCGAAAGGAGTAGAACACATCCCTCCGCTGTGTCAGTGGCGTTTGTTCTTTTGCCCGCTTCGAAAATGCAATCATTTTTATTACCGCATTTCAAAGTTCAACACCTTTTTCAATCCGCATGTCAACAATCAATTATATTAAATGACTGTATTGAACTTTAAGTCGCATTTTAAATTAACATTTTTCTATTGTAATGTGAATTAAAAATAACAAGACATAGATTCTACGGTAAATATTACATGTAAAATTGAAGTAGTCTGGTCATTGTTGTATCAATGTTGCATTAACATTTTATGGTGTCGCGTGTTGAAAAACACTGTTTAACTCTTTGTCACGTTCACTTTATGACTAACAAATTGATTACTTTTTCTTTTCAGGTATATTCATTAGCCCTTGGATTCTGGTATCGATCCACGTTTGTCCACCAGAAAGGTAAGATGGGTTGAACGTTCATGATACACGCACTGTAATCGTGTAATTGTGGGGAGTTAGCACGTCAATGAGCTGTGCGAGTGTACACATGTGTGAACCTACGCTCATGTCTGAAGCTGAGTAGGAGTGTGTGAGTTAATTACTAGTGTGAGTGAATAAATGAAAAGGAGCGTGTTGAATGCGGGCTTAAAAATAAAATTTAAAAATATGTGCAAATTACATGGAAAGGATTTCCTATTGGTAGAAGAAAACAAGATGTTCTGTAAATCTTTATTTTATTGTTTCAGTGGGAGGAAAGGCACATGTTTTATCTGCTTACTGTTTTGTCGAAGTCTTCGCAGATGCAGTTATCATATTTATAATTTGGGCAGTAAGTATAACCTTCATTGGTTTTGTACACTACTGTAATGATGTTACATCTTCAGGAGAAAGAGAAGGAAAATAGTGAAATTCTGCATCATTTTCTCTCAGAGAATTCACCTACGTAGGCGTAAGGGTGGTCTAAATTTAGCGGAGATTACCGATACTGGACTTGCAATCCGCGTATACTTCATTGTATGTTTTCGATAATCGCGGTGCCGGATGATATTTCTATTCAAACATTATGTCCGTTGACACTTGATAATCTATGACGTCATCCAATCGGGAGCTTGACATCACTGTAACAGGGGCGTACCCAAGTATTCAGGGGACAATGGCAAGCATAGAATTTGCGCCCCTGTCAGAGTACTTCAAACTAGGGTTTTTGTTATTTGTTTTGGCGGGTATTCTCTAAATAGCGGCCTTGGGAGTGGCGCCCATGGCATGTGCCGTGTCTGTCATACCGTAAATACGCCTCTGTTTCTTCACTGTGGGGACGTTTAAGCTCCAGATGAGATGATAGCATCACCGCTAGGCGAGTGTCTACAGACTTGATGTTTTAATCGAGTAATAGCATTCATGGACATAGCGGTCTCGGGCACTAGTCTCGTCGCCGAGAACAATCGGAACCGAGTGTCTTTGTGCCCAGCTCAATAAATATTGATTGTATATCTTTATTATTGCTTCGTATTCATTTCACGAATGTAGAGATTTTGTATAAGTGAAATTTATAATTATTAACATAATTTGTGTTTAATTATGTTGGACATTAAACTTATTGATAAAACGCTACACCTGTTTCAGAATAATGATAAAATTACCAAAGGCATCCTACCGAAGACGCTTCTTGTGTACTTTGTGTGTATGGGAGCGACATTTTACAGTTTGACACCGATACTTCGATTATACGACACAAAAGTTCCTCTTTGGCAGGGACTCCGCTTTGGTAAGTTTTGTTACAAACATTTAAAAAAACAGGGTAGAATAGCTTTGAAATTAAGAGTCTGCTACTGTAGCTTTAGAGGCCGGGCGTTCTAACAAAAACTGATTTTTGATATCAGATTAATATTACTTCTGTAGTTCTTAATATGACTATAACACATAATATTTACACTTGTTTTATAATGATCCATAGTATTTCTGATAATCACCATATTTAATCGTAAACTTCTTGACATGGGTTCAGATACACCCACAGTATTTTACCCATATCAATATAAAGTTTATTCGCCCTTTGCATCAATTATTTGTAACCTATTTTTCCGACCGACCTATTTTTCACGAAATTATAAAGTCGTTTCTTTTGCAAGATAAGCATGTTAAGACTGCAGCGATCCCCAGCAGCAACTCGAACCCGATCATCTCCTTATTCTACTTGCCACACGGAATAACCATATGGAAATACTTGCCAGAAATAATCACACAAAAAATGTAGAATATATTTACATATCTTCTGAATGGTGCACTTTTCATTCCTGTATTTTCTTTCATTGTCAGTACTTTTCATAAACCCCTAGGGTACATTCATTTTCTTCAAAAATGGGTGAAAAATTGGTTTAAATGTTTTCGTAAGAATATAGAACAATGTATGAGATCAATGTTGTTTTTATTAAAACTTTTCAATTTAAAAGGGTTCAACTAGCATTATAATATTACATAATCTTTACAAATAACACAATATTTTACGTCCTGATATGGACGTGAATATAATTCAATTGTGAAAAAATGATAAATTTTTTATGCGAGTTTGCTTCCCTTGCAGCTGGCAACTTAATACAAGTGCTGTTGCTCCGCGGCCTGGTGAAGCAGCTGTGGAGCGAGGAGCCCTCTCCTGCGACGCCGATTCCGACAGTGGCCAGCGCCTTGGAAGGGGCGCGGCGCGGCTGCCCCTCGCCCGCGCCGGAGCCCCGGCCGTGTGCCCCGGCGCCCGTTCACCGCCCGGCCCCGCCCTCGGGGCGCCCCGAACCGCGACTGATTCTGAGCGTTGCCGGGTTAATTGGACAGAAATGACAAGGCGAAGCGAGGGCCTATTGAAAATATTCAATATAAAGTAGAAGCTGAATTCAGACGGAATATTTTTCTATTTTAGGTAGCAAGGAATTCAAATAAAAATATTTCAATCATTATTTGAAGTTGTCAATTGACAGTAAAAGTAAACATTTTGAGCCGATAATACTTTGGTTTCGTAATCACGTTTCCTCAAGAGTGCAATAATTGAATTCACTACCTAGGTTCAAATTAGGAGGTTTAACAGGCCAAGATTCGTGTCTGTTGAGTGTTGTACGTGAGAATTGTTATGTTATAGAAACTTGTTAATATATTTCACATAATTATGTACAACAAATAACAGAACGATGTAATAAGACATAACATAAAGCGAAAACGTCAAAGATTAAGCCATTCAAACAAGTTTCCCTTAGCAAAAATATTTTTTAAAGTAATAAATATGTACGTATACTACATAAAAACCATACCATTTCAGTTGTTTGATAGAATGCAAATGTGTGTTTGTATGAAGCCACCATTCCTCGTTTTATTTCAAGCACTCATTGCGCTTCATTTCCATCTCCAGCTTGCACGCGTCCATCCTTTCTGAGTTGACAGGGAAGGGAGAGCGAATTTGGGAGCGTTCGCCCGTGCTCGCAAGAGCGCCTGGCTTCCCGGGCGAGCGAGCTCGTGCGGGCGCAATTTAACACGCCTGACGGGTACCAATGTTCAAGCAAGCCCTACGCAATTGAAACCTGTTCTCGCATCCTGCGGATTCAAAACAATTGCCCGGATCCACGTCACGCATAATGCTACGAGGCGTAACGGATACGTGAACTTCACACATGTGCACAACATTGTGATGGGTGCCCACCCCACAGCGGGTCGTCACCTTCCCTCAGAGCACACGAAGGTGGCACCGCGTCAAAAAAATTGTAATCACATTATGTTGTTTTTATAAACTGACATTGCAGTTACTATACTTATGTTGTTTTACCATGCTTATATTATGAAAACTTCAATCATTTACAATAAATAAATACACTAATTTTTGATTTGTGGGATAATCGTTACAATGTTTCTTCCCTTTAGTATTTTACACGTAACCAAAATATCATACGTAGAAATACTTATTAATTATTTTAGTTATCATAATCATTAATTAATTAACACAAACTTTCATGACGAGAATAAAACAAAATCCGCGAAAAGGACATGAAGAATAAAAAAAGGTGTAAGCAAAAACTACGAAATTCAAAACGTTTCCCTGTCATGAGTACCGGAGTAAATAATAGTAATGAGAAGAATAACACAATTTCCTTACTTTTTCTTCAACAACCTTTTTTTCCGGTTGAAGGCGATTTCTTCTACTTTCACAGCATTTAATATTCCTAATATGTTGTTTTCATTAATTTAAAACGTTTATCACAAATATATTAGACATTGATATAAAAATATACGGACAAAATTCTATTCAAATTTGTTAACAAACTTATAAATATTGTCTTAATGAAATTGATTAAATTATAGTAATTTATATACACCTCTGGTGAACACATCAGCACACTGAATAACTTCCATCAAGTACACTCAAATATTAACATTAAGTATTTCACAGATGTCGCTGCGAAATTGGAAAATCTCAGAACTGATTCGATTATAAACACCTTGAATGTGAACATTTAATTCCAGTGATTCGAGAGAAAAAACAACAATGATAGATGACAGTAAGAGAGAATACACTCACCCCATTCCCTGGCCTCGAAGCCGGACTTAAACTCCATGTGCGACCCCTCTCGCTGTCCGTGCTGCTCCAAGAATTGAAACAAGGAAATGTTTACACCCGACACGATTTTCAAGCACCTTCATCGATAACTCTTAATGGTGTTAGATACACAAAACACTTAAAAAATATTTCACAATTCATTCTAAAAATAAAATTAATAGTGAGGCGAATCTACACGCGTATTATCAACTTTACAATGTTCACGCAACGACATTCAAACGCGTAATGACAACTTCGACAAAAATCAAAAGTTGTAAAATCGTTTGCTCCACGTTTTCTTCTCTTTGCTAAACCTGTAGGCGCGCATTTCAAATTACTTTCGTATTAAACGCATAGATAACTAAATTATATAATAACAGGTTTCATTCTTGTCTCTCTTCTTGCTCAGCTACCTACTCTAAAGTTTCACTTATGATTAACTGTTCTTCATTATGTTATATTCATGTTTATATTGGGTTCAGGAACATATACGATGTCCCACCAACTATGGACCACCCCCATAACTTCTAAACGGTTCAGGATAACGATATGTAGTTTTCGCTGAACAATGCGGAATCATGGGGCAAGTAACATACCGTAGAGAAATTGTCTATAATATTTTTAGTTTTCGATAAATTTAATCTTTGATTTTTTGAATGAATCTCTATATTTTTCTCACCAGCAATGTATATATCATGAAATGAATGAAATCATGTATCATATATTATTATTTTATTAGTAATTTGAGTATAAAATTAGACTTTCTGGCATGTGATTTTGAATTAAACGGACCATATTTCGTGTAGCAGCCCTTGCCACACTCACTTTCGGGAAGGTGGCCTTCGCGGCGTCCTGTTGCGTCCAGGGGTGAGAGGGGGGGGGGCAGTGAGGGATAAGAGGCACAACTACAGCAATGCATCGTTTTGACACATAGGCAGCACTAAGACACACCAGTTTTAACCATCAGATCGAGACACTTTTTCAATTGATTCATCTGGATTTAACTAGTCTTTTACTGAAGTTCCAAAACAACGGTCATTCTACAGCACTACATTCTAGCCTAAGGAAAGATTATAATAATAAATATTATTTTCAAATTTGTCACGAATCAAATCACCATCTCTTTGTTAGTAAATTTTTATTTTTAATTAAGCTGATCACTCGTCCACTTCGCAACCATAGTGCTGTTTATAAATGGAAAAGAACATAGTACATTTCGTCTTCTGCCGTGGGTTTCAAGGTTGTGGCATCACGTGGCGCTATGAAGTGAAAAACTCTCCAATCAGTATTAGAAGACGGGACTCTAGATATGCATTTTTTAGTTTATCTGGTACACTTAATTTAAAATCACATGTCAGAAAGAATAATTGTCTACTCAAAATACCAGCAAAATTTAACATATGTTACATCATTGCATTCGTCTATTTATGATCAATCTATTTCTAGTGACAAATATACATGATTCCACTACATTGATAGAACTGTCAAGAGTATTTCAAAATTTTTATTGTTTTTTTTTCTTTTGGTACATGTTTAAATAGGAATTTTATTAACAGTAAATAATAAGAGAAAATGTCTGCCTATCTATTATTTGCTGAATTAATCGAGATAATTCAATAAAAATCTTTAAGTATTCTACCTCCCAGCATCGCTCCTGCAACCACACAACTGCTTTTCCGCCTCTTCCTTCGGAAGCCTTCAGCATCGCGCTGGAAGACCACACTCTAATGACGTCTCTAGCTTGCAAAAATAGCTCGCGAGACATTGAGCCCTTATGTTCCTGACCTAAGATTGTTAGAAATATGCAATCATTAATGACCAAAAGGATATGAAAGTATTATTATAAATATGACTTTTAAAATGTTTGGTTGCATTTTCGAAACTTTCAAAATCTTTCCGCTGTTTAAATAACCATTGTATTGAAAATATACTTTGAAAATCTGCCACATCCACTATTCATGTCATCTCCTTTGGCGCCCCGTGAAAGCCATTCGACGTGTTAGTTAAAGTTATTAAATAAATTTTATAGAAGTGGTTGACCTTGGCACAAAACCTGGCAACACTTTCTTCGCATCTGATTTTCTCTACGCTCTTTTTCTCCGTCTACCCTTCTAATTCACATACATTATATTTATGTGAATCAGACAATTATATACAGCATCAAAATTGAAAGAAATTATATAACATTTAATATATATAAAAAATCTCTTTGAGACGACTGCATGCAAGTATGCGAAAATGAAATCAAAAATATTAAAAAATATGAACAAAAATATGCAAATTCATGAAAAAATACGATCACAATATAAAAAACTAACGAAAAAGGACCAAATAGTTAAAAAAAACAAAATATGGTCTAAAAAAAACAAAATATGGTTTTATATAACACGTGAAATTGCATAATTTTCATTGTTGTAGATAAAATCAAATATATCTTATTTTTTTCCTTTCCGTTATTTCCATGGAAAATGTGACTTCCCATAAACATCCCGCCTTATACTTCTCTAGATTTCTAGTCTAGTCTCTAGGTTTACAAAATAAGTTGACAAAATTTCACCTATATTTATCCAAATGTAAAGTTGACTCTGTGTTAAAGTGTCAGATTTTTCTTAATTAAAAGTTTATTTATAATCTGTTCATACGTATAAACAGTAAGTAAGTTTGTTGGCTAGATAATTATATACTATTTTAATTAGCATTGATTGAAGAAGATACTTATTAGTATCTCTTCATTAATACACTTCATTTCACATATAACTGCACTTCAAAATCTGTGAAGCAAATCTAAATGTTTGAATTTTTAAGACTTCTAATTTCTTTTAGTAACTTTAATCTAACAAATTTGTGGCCAAAGTATTAGGTTAGCATTCAAATTTTTGAATTAATTTACTACTATTTTTTTAAGTTTCTTGTTAACTGTTGGCTTTTTACAATCAGACTGAATTGCATCATCTCATACATACCACGGGCTATTGGCAATGTTACTTATTATTTTGTATTGAAATGTTTAAATCATTGGATATTGGATTTGCTACTGGTGCCCTAGAACGGTATGCAGTAAGTCCAAAGAAGCTTTAAGAATGGTTTATAATTGATTATTTTATTGTGTATTAAATAAGTAATTTGCTAACACTGAGTTTCTACCAAACAACCAACACAGTTTATTGTATTTTGACTAGTGTTCTTTTCACAACTTGATTCTGTTTTTTTTAATTTTACATTGACAGATTGTTCAGCTGTGAGGCTCTTCAGTTGATTGACCGAGTAGTTTTGTATCAGCAAAGGTGATGGGGGTAACTTTTGTCACCTCCCGGATAGTGATTCTCTTAGTTTACACCTTCAACTACGGTTATTGCGAGAAAAATTTAGAGAGCGATGATCGGTTTAAGAAAGGAATACGATGGGAGAGTCAGATAAATGTAATAAACGTTTTTTAATGCCGGAGAGGTATAGAAATAAAATGTGAAATGGGAGTCTGTTTCTTAGGCGGTAATTGAGGGCTGACCAGTTTCTATTTTGTAAGTAACGGCTCCTTGTACATGATTTAAATTATTGAAGAAATTATGTGCCAGTTTCGTAATAAAGAAAGTAATTGGTTCTATTGTGAGATCGTTGTGAAGTGTCTTATTGCTGACAAACCAGGGAGCGTTTACTGTGTTTCTTAAGATTTTTTTGTGAAAGATTTGTAACTTATTTAATGTGATTGGGGCAGCTGAAATCCATACAGGGCATGCGTAAGTCAATATCGGACGAAGAATACGTTGGTGAACGATTAAAGAGGAACGAATTTTTAAAAAAGAGTTGCGATTGAGAGTCTGTCCTGAAATAGCTAACCGTCTTTTGGATTCAATTACTTTGGACTAGATGTGACTGTGCCAATTTAATCTTTCATCCATGAGAACACCGAGATAACGAATAGATGGATTTAGAGGAGACCAGGGAATGATAGAAGAGTCCAGAGAAAAGGGGGCGAGGAAAGGCAGGGTACCTCAAAATAAATACTTTAGCTCTTAACTCTAAATACTTTAGAGTTAATTTTGATTTTCCACAATTTTGATGAATTTTCTATTTTTTTAGGTGACATTGAATTACACGACATGCTGTGTTTAAGTTTCGGTTTGCAGTTTGCGGTTTGAATTTTAATCCATCAAGACATACTCTATCGAAAGCCTGGGCAAAGTTTAAGAAAACTGTAAGTAGGGGAAAACCAGATTGGAATGAAAAATTAATTTGTTATGTTAATCTTAATAACTGATGAGTTATTGAGTGGTTTTCTCTGAAACCAAAGTAGAAAAAATGAAGCACGTTGGTATCAAGAATTCATTTTTGTCTTTTTAATACAAGTTTTTTGATTTTTTGAGGCTTTGGAATTCATATAATTACAGAGTGTTTCGAAGAATTAGGATAATATTCTAATCGTAATGCAGAGTTAAGTGTATTATTTTTGTTTACACATAATGTTTTTTCCACGTAAATTTCGTATCAAGATAAACATCTAATCTCGCTGAATCTGTTTATGGAAGGATAGTTCTTATTACACTGGGGGACAAAATCTTCTCTTCATAGTCAAAGTAACTTGATTTGCGTTCATTTGCTCTTATTTGCCAAGTATTCAGCCATGTTAGTAGTTAGTTGAGTTGTTCCTGAAGCAATCTAAAAATCTCTTCTCGATCTGACCTCGCGAGAACTTTTGTATCGTCAGCGAAGTTACTGTTTCTTTGGTTGTAGGGAGGTCAGAAGTGTATAATACATAGAGCACAGACCCTGCAAACGTCCACTTCCTTGAAAAGTAGGTTTCCATCTCGAAATCCGACTGCTACAAGGAAGTATGAAGGAATACGTTCCTTCTCTCAGAAAGGTAGTATAAATATTTTCTGCTATATCATACTTCAGTGGAGATGAATACCCGTGACGCTGCTTCTTTAACAGTGAAATAAGGTTTAAGTGCTGAGAGATGACGTCACGTAAACCTATGACGTAGATACAAAGGGAGTGAAGTCGGGAGCGACGGTGCCACTAGCAGGGGTTCACTGCAAGCCCAACGTAGTGAACGGGACACCTGTTGGTGACGTCAATGGCGTTGTTTCCTTCGGGAGTACTCGAGCGTGTCCACTGCTTGGAGAATTCTTTTCTAAATAAGGAAAATTTGACTATATGGGTTTATAGGGGAACAGAATGAGTTAAATCGTCAGGCATTTGTAGTGAATAAAAAGAATATCCAATGTAAGAGAAATTAAAATGAAAGTATAGATTCAGGAATAAAAAGAACATGAAACACACATTTCACCCTGTAGAAGGTCACGTAACGGCCGAAACTGGGAATTTTCCTAGGACGCTTCGTTTACCGTACAATCCAAGAAGATTACTATGAGTCTACTTAACAATTAAAATATTTTTCACGCAAAAACATTTTCAAAGCAAATAATTTCGATGAATTGAACACACTTTAGTAAGAATATAAGACATTGTTAAGTAAAAAAGACATTAACCTAAAAGGAATGTATCCTATTCAATGGGCGGAGGGCGGTCGAGGAGGGACGATGCGGGAGCAAAGCGGGTGCGAAGCATCACTGGTGACACGATCATTATTATACTATCGTAGAAACCATAACCATTTATTGTGAAATTGTCGTAGATAAAAATTTCGACTGATTCACGTTTAACCCTTGCGCCAAAAATGAAAGAGCTTACGTTGATGGCTGGCGATGATTGTGTTTGTTTGTATAGGAAGCAGAACATGAATAGTGTTTGTTTCTTTCAATTGTAGAACTTGAAAATTAAACATTTTTGTATAAGTTAAAATGAATTATATAGTATATTGAAACTCGTATCTTTTTTCACTGCTCTACTGATGCAGGCGAAGCAAAAATGATACTTTTTGAGGAAAAACAATGGTGCGTAAGGCCAGTTGTGCAACCTTGGAGGTGTTGGTCCAGGAAGGCAAAATAGTGGGAGTTCAAAAATTCGTTCATTAATAACTATTATATTCCCATATTTCTTTAGTTTTGTTTTGCTTCCATGTGTTTTTTTCATCTAAGATACTTGTTGAGAGGCTGACAAGAGAATAAATGTTCAGAACAACCAGATACTGTATGTCAGACCTGCACAGCATATTGCACTTTTGCTGACCTCTGGAGACGCGCGCGAGTCACTCGACAGCAAATTCAGAAAGCTAAGAAGAGTGGCAATGCAAACCATTTTAGGAGTGGAGACCAAAAATGAGAACGCGCAATTTGAACCGTAGCGCGTAAATTGAAAAAACAACCGGCGAGAACATTACAGACTTACGTACAGTTCATATAACATTGCCTTTTGCATTATACAGGAAGGCTTTGTTGTCAATAGATGACAATATGAAGTATGAACCTTCAAACAAACCAAAACGAATTCGATTACATTTTGGTTTGGACACCAAGTATTATAATTGCTTGTATGGCTGATTCTGTTGTTCACTTTGCTACGATGTACTTAGTTGTACAAATGACGATGTACAAATTTACTGAGCGAAATGCCTCAGTGCGTTGCGCACTGCTTCGCAGTCGGGAGGTCCGGATTTGTTCCCTGGCCCTACCATCCTGACCGGGTGTTTCCGTGGTTTCCCTCGGTTATAAGGCGAATGCTGGGATGGTTCAAAAATGCCACGATCACCACCCTTCACCCCACCTGCCCCCTCACATCATCCTAGTCCTTTCACCCCTCATCATCACCGTAGTACTTTATTTAGTATTCCCTGCGAAAGCCAGGAGGCCCTTGCCTTAAATGAGATCTTTTGGCTAATATGAATGACAATAATAGTAATAATAATAATAATAATAATAATAATAATAATAATAATAATAATAATAATAATAACCACAAACTTAGTGTGTTAACCACAAAATTGTAACATTTAATCTTTTTTGTTTGACGATAACACTAATGAACTATTTATTTAGTAACTATTTTTAATTGAATAAGACAGTTATATCAATACAAAAAATCTTAAACTAGTAGAGCTACAGAATTGCACAGTCTTTCTCGAATTTGTTTTCTATTTCCTTTGTCTGCGCTAGCTATTCTGACTTGCGACATACTCTTGCCTGCTGCCATCTATCGCCACCCTAAGTACATTTATTTTGAAAAAAATTCTTAATTTTTCGGTTAATACTAGAACGGAAATATTATTTTAATAATATGAAAGAACAGTTAAACCTCGTCATAAATGGCAACTTGGAAATTTGAGCCGTTTTTAAGAAAATGGCGTTTCAGCGCTACTGCAAATTCGAAATTCGAAGCTACTTTTCACAGGTAAGTTTTGAGTTTTCTAAAAAGTTCATTTAAATTCATTCAAAGAACTTCAACTCACAAATGCAATAGTCTTTACAAATTTCGGGAAATGTCTCAATCCGTTAATATTCACATCTTAAAAAATATATTTGTATAGTTTTTGAAAACACAAAATTATTTTTTGTATATTTAACAACTGAATAGTTAGAGATTTCGGGCGCGTCAACTACTGAGGTCACTAGTCCCGTAAGTGTAGTACATGGTTTTTCCTCGTGATGTGGTGATCTTCCAGCGCTAGGTAGCGCGATCCGGCGTTAGCCTGCTACCGCTTAACGGGTTTTCCCTCAACCAGGTATTTCCCACCAACTGTGCATCGGCCCAGCAGGGACAAGCCATAAGCTCCCGATCGGCCTCCAGGCATGTGGGGTAATATAGTGCTTGATAGTATAGGTGTGTATGTGTGTGTGTAAGGGGTGAGTGGCCCACTACAAACTTACACTACCACACATGCCCACGGACCGGTCGGGATCTTAGAGCTCGTCCTCTCTGGCGCGGTGCCCCGCTGGTGGGAGATACCTGGTTGAGGAAAAACCCCGCTAGCCGACGGTAGGTCGGAGCCGGATCTCGCGAAACGGCGGGGGAAACATGCACTACACGTACGGAACTAATGATATTTATATTTTTTTGTAGTTGGTACGCTTAGGAACACTAACAATCAATAAATCAATCCAATGCAACATTAAGAACTACAGATCTTGGTAAATAAATATTGTATTACATTTTTAAAGACTTTATGAACTCTGTTTGCTGTGAATAGTGTCTGTAATGTTCTGGAGTTTGTACACCTTCATTTCATTAGTCCGTAATATAAGTAGTAAACGTCATGAAACAATATTTTAAGGTTTTCAATTTCTCTGATAGTGCATATATTGAAGTTTTCTATTGTAACTTTACTACAGTTCTTTCTCTTGTGCGATGTAATCGCAGGGGTTCAGCTAGTAAGCATCAGCTCAGACGTGAAAATGACAATGTAACATTATAGACCGAATTGATTTGTACCAGTGGCTCGCTTCGCTTTGCGAAAAGTTTCAGAAACAAGCGAATGACAATACCGAAAATACCGACAATACCCTATATCAATCACGAGTTTTCTCCCGTAGTCCGAACAGACGTGATTTGTGTCCAAATGCTTTTGATGCATTACCCACTGTATATGAACAGGCGCGCGCGGAGATTGCGAGAAGGAAGGGGGAGAGAAGCGAGGAGGCAGGAGGGGGCTGCCCAGCCAGCTGAGTCGCGCTGGCCTCAGTCCGAGGTGAACGCCATCCCGCGCGGAGCCGAAATGCGCGCCGCGAGCAGACCGGGGCTAGCGCCGGGGAAGGAGGCCATGCCCTGGGGGCAGCGCGCGGGCTGGATTGCGCTGCACTTCCGGGAGCCCGGCCTCCGCCTCTTCGGGGACCTGCGCACAGCCGTCGCCAACGGCGCCGCGGCCGTCGGGGTGAGCCATCGCGGTGCGGGCCGCGGACCACACAGGACGTGCCACGTCACTCAATGGCCGCGAGATTCGAATGTGACAGGCGTAGGGATGGCAAAGAACAGTGATGTGTTTAAAACAACGATATTTATAAGTAGAAGCATTGATATTTTATCATAGATGTTTTGCTTCCGATATTTTCTTCGGAGAGATATATTTGTCCAAAAACATCGAAATTTTCAAAACTTTCTCGTGATATGTACAAAATATGTTGCATTTGTGGATTGCTCGCAACCAACAGCCAATGTTGTCCATCCCCAGGCAGCACGAAACAGTTAGCTACTCGACACTTTTCTCCAGTGTTGTGACCTTCTTTATTATTTTGTGCATGGTAAAATTATTAAACTGTAATTTGAACCTTGTCTATACTGAACATTGATTAAAAAATTAAGATGATGATGAAATTTAAGGCAGAATATATTTTAAAAAAATAATAACGTGTTATGTGTCATATTAGAAACAGGACATTTTACTTCGAAATGTCTCATCATATTTAAAACATCAATATTTTAAACATTCTGGTGATGTGTTACTAAAATGTTCCATCCCTAGCCGCGGTCCCCTGAAAATTTAGAAAAGAGCCCAGAACCCCTTTGTTACAAATAAGACATTTTATTACTGTAAATATGATAAATTTCGAACTTTCCCCTTTCGTTTCGTATTCTGAATTGTTTCATATCAAAATATCATTTACTAGCGTTTAACATTTAAGGTTATATATGAATGATTTTTATAAAGTTTATTGTGACTTCCTCAGGGTTATTCGTGAAACGCAGCCAGTATTCTAAGTGAATAGAACGACTCAGCACGACTACTTTAGGAACCGCTCTGAGCTGTATTGAAAAATTTCCTGAAGATTCACTTCGTAGAAAATAAACTGTTCACCTCTGAAATCTTGAGGTGCTACATTTCTTTCCTTGTGTATCGTCGCTTAACCGACAACGTGACTACTGAACGCCATAAACATTGCTCACACCAATCTCAGGTTTTAACCACTGATTGTAGTTTTTAATATTTTACTTTCCTTCAAATACCAATACAACACTTCATTCCCTTACAAAAGTTCCTTTGTTGATGAATAAATTCATGCCGACTGGTCAATATTCGCATGACTAACATTTTGTTTCTATTCCAGTGCTACTGTCTACTCCTGGGATGTGTCTACCTTAGCCAGACGTTGGGTAGAGAAAGATATGGTGGTACGTTTGCAACGTTTCAAAAATACATGTGTCGTTTTATAAGAGGTAGAGAACAAGCTGAGAAACATCGCGTACATAGGGTTTATAATAAAGTTTTGACGCTTTCTGCGATTTAGTATTATGCGACATTACTCTAGGGCAGGACGCTCAGTGCAGAGACAAAAGCTATTGCCAGCCAGCGCGGTCTATAACAGAGGAGACAGTCATCTCGACTTAACACAGTTGCTACGCACCCTAATCAACTCTCAAACACGACCCTCAGCGCATCAATGGATGTCACTGACGCGGAGGTTCAAGGGTTCGAGTCCGGACGGTACATAGCTAGCTACATAGCTACGTCAAATTCAGCCGCTGTCTGGAAGACAAATCTAGCGGCCGGCTGCTCTGGTCGGTAGTGGTCCTTGATCAACAACAAGCGGGTACCGGTGCAGTACGCTTACAAACAGGCCACGGACCTATCCTTCTTCCTTGTCCTCTTCTCACCCTTCATACACACTTACACGTACTTACACTCCTCTACCACACATGTTGGGAGATCGGTCGGGAGCTTAGAGCTTGTCGCGATCGGGGCGGTGACATGACACCAGGTCTCGCGATCGGGAGACACCTGGTGGGTATTCTTTATCGTTTCACAAATTACGTTATTTGAAAATCGTTCGTTATTGCTTTTCTTTGTTTAGTTACATACGAAAATTTGAATTACAATTTTCTGTTACGTGTTTTAAGGATGTAATATTTATTTCATGTTCTTTTTTTAATTCACAGGTGAGTATATTGTGGATGTGACTTCTCTGATGGCTTGCTTTATAGCAATAATGAATGCTTTTCTTTATTACGCATGCATAAAGCAGGTAGGAATGATATTTGGCAATATCATGATGAACATACAATTGAACTGATTCTTTGTCTATAAATCACATTGAATATGGCATTTCACATTATGAATTTCAGAAAAATGACACCCATCTAGAACATTTATTGTGTGCAACGATGACGTTATACAAGATAGATGTGCCGTTCTCTGTTATCGCTCACTTTGTTTCTGCGGTGATATCTATAGATCTTCTACCATTCTGGATGATAATTCGCATTGGTGAGTACTAGGAATAAGATTTTTATGCTAAAAAATTCTTGAAATATGCTATTGAAAATACGCATTTATGGCGTGAAAATTCATAAATATGCAGTTAATAAGCAATGAAAATTAAAAATATGAAATAAGGTAGATTGTTTTATGTTTGCACAAAAATATATCTTTTCATTCCCAGCATGCTTCTCCTGAATTGTATCAGGTAAGGTTTATAAAGGAAGTAATTTACTTGTCCTTGATCCGTAATGAACAAAAATAGGCATTCAACATCAGCAAAAGTAAATTCAATTCTCTGATGAAGAAATGTTGATACATAAGACTTGATTTCTGGCCGAACGCGACAAAACGGCGTTTCGGTATCGCGAGAATAATTATTAAATTATAAAAATTCAACTATTTCTATTCAATTACTCATTAATTTGGGGTGCGTTACGGACTATATCAGGTTACAGACTAATTTGGACTATTATCAGAACAAGTATTGCTGTTATCACGCATGCATTAAATCTTGTAAAGTACTCGTAAAAACTGATAATTTTTGTCCTCAAAAGATTTCTACTAAAGACAACCTCAAAAGACAAATAAATCAACACTGACGTGTCTAGCGTGCAGGTCTCGCCCTCAAAGAATATGTAGCTGCCAAACATCAGTACAGAAGACTTGCTTACCTATCTTGGTCTAACTGTTAGAAAGATCACTTTACTCTCTTTGTTGTGAGATTTCCTACCATACACTTATTGACAAAAGATTACCTTTAACCCATTACAAGTTTATACCATTTACTCTGAATTCATATGGTACATTCATTTATATAACCTTGCCTTTTCAGCCCTGTGCATCTTGCACATGTGTCTGATGTACTGCCTGTTAGTGGAGGTCCGAGAGAACAATGATCCCTCTGCAAGTCCTGAACTGCAGTCCAATGCAGATCTCCGTGGTGTAAAGGCCTCCGAGAAGTTTCCCAAGGAAGAAGATGCAGTAAGTGGTGTTCTCACAACTCCCTAGCGTCCACCAGCCGAACCTCCAAACTGTGCACTGCGCTGGAAAACAGAGCTAGGCCTACCTCAAAAAATGCGGCGATAAAACTGAACTGTTGTACAAAATATACGATGGTACAAATTAAAAACTTTAAGATTCCGGAATAAACGCAATGAATCCACTGGATGTGAGCGTCTGCGATATGTTATACAATAACAAATGTCCTGAGATTATCCCGAAGTTAGTAGTTTTGCTGGTGCACCTAAAGGTCCGTCAAAGAACGAGTTTATATGGGAAGTGTATTTCTTTTAAATGATGAAAAATAAATTTCAGGATTACTTGTCACAAGGAGGCAAAAAACATAATTGGTCATTTCCCCTTTATTCCTAAACAACTTCCTACCTTCTTTCTCGATATTAATGTTCCTGGACGCTCCTGTATTTGGCAGGAGAGACGATACCAAGGATTTCAAATCTCTTTCGTTCCGAGAGCTTTTGCACGGTGGGTCGATGAACACTTGATATTATTCAGGACATTGTGAAAAAGAGAGCAGGTAAAATTGTCAATTGTGACATGTGGTCCTCCAAGATACCATGCATCACTGTAATTAATACAAACCACTTTGTAGACTTTCAGTGTGGTCAGACCGCTCCGTGGTTACTATCCTCGAAGTGGTTCATATTGGTTTTCAACCATCTCGAAGTGCGGGGACCAAAATTCTGCGGCACCTAGAACCGCGCGGCAAAGAAGCACGCATGAGACATTGCTTCGCGCTGATGGCAAGGTATCAAAGAGACAAGGCAGTGCAAACGTCTTTTGATTTATTTTCCTCAAAAATATAATTTAACTCTGTATGTATAATTATAATCTGCAAATGTTTTCTTACGCTCCAAAATGTATTTCTTATCCTTTAAAATGCACATTTCAATGATTAGTAAAAGTACCATGAACGTGAGCTTAGCAACATTTGAAAAGGATACTTTTTTGCTTCCGAATTTTAGAAATACTGACTTACATTGGTAAACGAACCACAGATTTGATTTTATAATATTGCTAGTAAAACAGCTGCCCACATCTTGCTCCCCGGCTTTACATTACCCCAACTTGTGAAAGGACAGCTCAACAAAACCTGCGTATAAGGGAACATTTGTGTATAGAAGCTAAAGAAGTGTCTATATGAACATTTGCTTAATGGATCAGGGAAACCGGGGAAAAACATTATTGAGATAGGGAGTTTCATAAATATCGATGTTTCTTAATATCCCGTGCGACATCGATGTCGATGTTTATGTATAACATCGATGTTTTAAACATCGACATCAATGTATTAAACAGGGGGCCTACGTTCTTCTGGGGGTAAGATGGGCGTAGGGTCTGCCTTTTCTTCTCGTACGATATTTTAAACATCTATATATTAACGCCGATGGGTTTTTTCTTCTTTTCCTTTTTTTTGAAAGAAAGAATTCCTTGATCACAATTCTAGAAAAGTTAAAATATGAAATAATACCTGATGGGAACTGTAGTTCAAGTATTGGAACCAAAGGAACGCCGTTTGTACTATCTGCAATCAATCAAACCCTCTCGCTCGAGATGACCTGCATGCTCTTGTATTTCCTCTTTCTTCCTATTCATTTCGCACATTGAGATGGGAGCGACAAATACGTTGTGTGCGTAGGGTCTGGCCTTCCTTCTCGTACCCGTATTCGGCAAACTGATAAACATGAACTCAAATTACATTTTAGTGCCTACGACATTAATATTAGATGTTACTAAAGCAGTCTAAAGCATCTATATTGAAAGGCATCTATGGTGTTTAGTCATTGTATTTTAACATCGATGTTTTAATTTTAAACATCGATGTTTTGTTATCGATGTTGCATCTCAACTCCGCCTACCAGTGCTGTCTACTCGTGGGAAGTGCAAGTTTGCAATTTGTACTTGACTCTCAGACGTCAATTACTTCATATTGTCTCCAGAAAAATGCTGAAAAACCTTATTTGCATTACATTTGAAACTGGCGCTTTATGCGCATTCAGTGGTGTAAAATGGTGCCCTGGAATGTGACTAAAGTGTTTCCCTCTGTGGATGGCACTCCCTTAATAAGTGAAATACGGTCTGTAGATGAAGTCAGACATTTCTTTCGTAACGTATGATTCATTATTTCCCATTGGAGCGTCTTGGAGATAAATGGCTATTTCAATACGAATTGCATTCTTTACCCAGTGACATTGTATTCAGATTTAACAAAATGAATATCTAATCACCAGCCAGCAAATGCTGAACAATTTGTGGAATTTACCATGACAACAATGGTGCATTTTTAAATATTTATAAACGTCTAATATAGAGTCACCAACGCCAAAGATCTCCAAACTTTTTTCAACTGGGGCAGGATAGGAAGTTTTTTTAAAGACTCCACACTTTTAATTTCATGATGGGATAAAATGTATTGTCGGATAGGAAGATTTTTAAAGACTCCCACACTTTTAATTTCATGATGGATGAGTGTATTGCCAGAGCCTGCTAGACCACCTCGCCAGACCTTATTGCAATCCATCCCGGAATAGTTTTGAGGAACAACCAAAAATTACAGACCATCCACTCCTGTTTTTGTGGCAATCGATTGTTGTCATGGGCGTTTGCAGTCTACAACAAGGAGCGGGTAAAGACATTTCAGGGCTCAATTATCCATTTAATATGCCATTTTTAATGACAAATGGCAGATGTTACTAACAAATACATAAAACACACTAGGATAAAACATGCTACATCCCACAAGGAAAAAGACTCCTTAAAACGTTAATGATAAAATTCACATTTACAATTTCTTTTATGTTGAACTATTTTTAGGGTTCGCATGGAGAGCGTATCAAATGTATAACAGTTTACTAAGTTATGAAATTAAAAAAGTAACTCATGTATTAAGCGTATTTACAGAAATAAAATTTAGGGACAGGCCCCGCAGCCTTATGTAATAATATTTTTTAAGTGAAACACGATCTCCCTGTCCTCCCCTCTTTCCGCACTATGGATGCGATATTGACCACAAAACATGGATATTAATAATACGTCGTCCAAAATCCCGCGATCCTTCTAAATGTTCCATGTTTTAAAAGATCTCTAACATTTACGTTCGCGTCCAGAAGAATTTAATTCGCCAGTGGTCGTGTTCATACGGTAATTAAGGTTTGTAACAAAGCAGGTAAAGTTTATAAGAACAATTAAATGAACAGAGCCTGGAAGCCTCAGAGCTCAGGGTCATCTCTAGGAGGCAGAGCTTCCTCAATTCGCCGAACAAGGAATCGGGATGAAGTGGAGAGGCCTTCCTACTGCTCATTCGTAGACCGTCTCCCCGCGAGCGAAACACGAACAAAGGGTGGGACTGCCACGGCACGGGGGCCATATCTCCCTGGAGAAATAGTCTTCGCTGATGATAGAATAAATAGTGTTCGCGTAGTCGAAAACATGAACTAACAGTGGCGCCATTGGTTATTATTTCATATTTTAACTTTTACAAAATTGTTATCAGAAAACATCAACGCGTCAACTTCTAAGTTCAGCCCCATAAGTGTAATCCATAATTTTATCGCGGGAGCTCGGGTAATATTCTCCCTCTGTATGGTTAGTTAATGCCGTATTGGACGTGGCGAGACGCGGGCCATCAGGCCTGCTCTTCTGTCTGACCACTCAAACTTCGCTACGCTCCTTTCACCATCTAATAGAGAAAGAAGGTATAATCACGGGCCACGGAACCGACGATTTGAATTTAGCTCAGAAGCTTAGGCTTGAGGTTCTTTACCATACAATAAAGGTATCACCCACCAGCAAGGCACCACCCCAACCGCGACAAGCTTTAAACTCCTCACTGGTCCCCCGATATGCTTGGTAATGAAGTGTAAGTAAGTGGGTGACTGTGCACGTAAGGGGTAAGGATAGGACAAGGAAGAGGAAGGAAAGATTGCGCGCTGCCCGTGGCCCGTTTCTTTTTTGTTCTCCCAGTGACCTGGTGTTGATTGAATCCTGGTGTTGATCGAAACTACGGAAAACTGCCGATTAGAGCAGTTGGCCGCTAGAATTTTCCTCCAGACAACGGCTGAATTCGACCTAGCTCTCTAGCTAGTGTCGTAAAACTTCCTACCGCCGGGAGTGGAAACATAGGACCTCCCGGTGACCCCGCGATGACAGTCATAGATACCCTGAGCCATCTAAGTTGGTCTATCGATGTTTAAAATATAGACGTTTTCAAAACATCTACACCAGGGTTGTGAAATTGGCGGCGCCCGGTGCCATTTATTCAGACCCGCGAAAGGTTATTTGTCAAAAGTGAAAGTCCCTTGCATCCATGTCGTCCACCAATTCCGCGCCTAGCCCACGCTATCTGTCGGGGTCAAAACCTCCTTAGTGTAGGATATGTTTAGAATCAAGAATTTTTTCCTAGAAGATTCAGAAACTCAAAATCACCCCAATATGTTTTACTACGTTATGCATGATACGGTCTGATATCAGGCCTGGTTCCATCTCCACCCCCTCTTTTTTAGAGCAGTCGAGCAAACTGCTGGGATCAACAATTCGGAGACGACCGGAGTGGATCTCCCGAGTAATGAAAATACAGCCCACAACGTTCTTCGAAATGCCACGGATCCCACATATCCGTACACGATATAACTGAACCCACGGCATCCGATATCAACAGCGAGATTCATATCCCTCCCTTTATCAGGTTGCCTACGTCCTGGCGGTACTCACGTCATCAGCCTAAATGTGTAGGCAGGGAGGAGGCTGAAAGGGGGCCCCAAGCCGCCCGAATCGTAGTGCGCATGTATCACATTCTTTGGAGTCCGGTGCTAGCTTGGATAGCTAGTAGCTCTGAGCTGGCAGGGCGTCTCCAACCCACACACTAAATGGAATGGGACGTTGGTGCGAGGGCAAATCGCGTTCCGGCGGGATCCGGATACCAGCCTGTCGACGTACTTGTGCGCCTTGGGAGGGGGGCGGATAAAGGCGAAAACCCCTTGAGCCCCTGGTAGAAGAAGAAACTGTGCGCAGTGCCCACTGTGCTCGCGGGCGCGCAGCGGGCGTCGGGGGGGGATGGCGTGCGCGCCGCCGGAGGTCGCACACGCCAGCGGGAATGGCGGCCGCCGAGGCGCGCAGGATGGCGGCGGAGAACGTGCCTGTGCACTGGGCGCAGCGCGCCTCCCGCGTGGCCATTCGCTTCAGGGAGCCGGGCATCCGAATGTGCGGGGACCTCCGCACCGCCGTCGCCCAAGGCGCCCTCGCAGTCGGGGTGAGTACACGAGGCGCAAGCTGTTCCTTCACACGCGGCCGGCTCTCTGTGCGCACGTCACCAGTCACGTGACTGCGATGGCGGGTTGCTTCAAACGTCACAGTGCGGTGAACAAGGCTCCGCGAATGAAACAGTAGAATCGCCCATAGAGAGAAGAAAGAAACCCATAGCTTGACTAATGATCCATTTTATTTTCATTTAATGCTTTAATCCTACATTGAATATAAACTATTTATTTTCATTACTTATTAAAGAGTGAAGTACAATCTTCATAGGTCTACGGAGAAGGTGAATTAATGTGTTAACAGTTTATTAAAACCCTCAACATATAGCACAGAAAGTTGAGGATTTTGTTTCAGCGAACTACCCTCAGCTGCCATTTATCTGATTCTTTAGGAATTATATTCATTCATTATAATTATTATAATCATTCAAGAATTCAATCATAATGTAATATTAAATATTATTTTATGAAAAAATTATTTTATTCCATCTCTCATCACTAACATTCCATCTCAACCTGGATCATTTTTACTTTCTTTGCAATAAAAGAACATATTGTAAATGTGCACCTAAAATTTGCGATTTTTTTTACAGAAAAACACATATTTCCCTTGTAACAAAAAAGTTGGCTAAAATATACATATTGTTCTAATTTGCGACAAATTACTTACACTGACATGTTGTGTAGTCACAATCCGTTTTGTGGATTCTTCATACAGAAAATGGATTGACTGCATAACATATATGTTCGCGGTGAATGCTAGCGCGTAACCATTCAGATTATTTTCTCCAAAATTGATATCCCAAGATCTATTTTAAGGATCTCTACTGCGAGTTTGCAACAATGTCTAAAAATTCTTTGAATTGGACTTCCTCCTTGGATAACTTGAAGAACGTTTTGTGACCGTGGCTCAATTTTTTTTAAGTTTTTCCTCGAATGCATCAAAGAGCAGTAAAAAATGTGGTGCTAGTCTCATTTACGCCACTCACTCTGCAGTTTCGAAAATTACAAAAAGTTAACATTGCCAAACTACAAATCTGAAAGAATATTTTTTCGTAAATGAAAACTATTCTGAAACAATCAGATCTTTAAAAAAGGTGGTGTATATTTTCTGGAAAAAGTAGTTCTTGTGTAATTTTTGTTTGAAATGAATTCAAGTTATAAGAAAATTTCTCAAAGTACGTTCCAAATATTTTCTTGAAACTTTTTTAATGGTAGAAATCACCATGTAGTCATAAACAGCTCTGATGTAAATGTGAATTCATTCGATGTCTCAACCTTCGTGAATGATGTAAAACTATGCAACATGGACTCGTCTAGTGGTAAATTTGTCTAACTTGTGGTAAATTTAAAAAAGCCTAATTATGCCATTATTCGAAGAAAAAAATAGTCAATGCCCTATTTCATGTTTCTAAAAACTCACGATTGCCAATTGTTGCAATTATTTAAGTAATGCCAAACCTATCTCCTAGCAATGCAGCAATGCAAATCTGTATCCTAGAGCGGAAAGTTTAAAAGTGGTCAGAGAGATTACTATTGTACTTGTAAATTCTGAGATTAATTGTTTAGGTAAAAATATTCATGACTTTACAACAATATAGTGCCTCCAAAATCCTTATACTTCTTCTGCTCAAAAAAAAGAATGACTCTAAACTAACTCCCAATTGTATCACTCCACTAAAGTATATTATCTCAACGGATTCTAGTATTATAAATAATTCCCCTGCCATGCTACTTGAAAGAACAATTGATGGTTACAAATAGAAATATTTTTCTTAATTGAATCATCTCGTCACTGTAATACGATTAGTCTCACTGTTGTGACGTGTGTTTCTATATTTAATAAAAAAAAATTATCATGTTGTTTTTTTGTTATTTAAAGTCGCATCAACTTCTAGGTCATTAGCGACCACTAGTGCTTGTAACGGTATGGTAACTGTGAGGATGATACGAAATGATGATGATGATAGGGGTTTGAGGGACGAACACAAGACAACCATGCCCGAGGCGGGACTCGAATCCGGGATCCTTCGGTCCAAGATCGCTACGGCACTACTGCCTTATCGCGGCCATCCGGGCCGGCTTCTCGTCATTTTGTTTACTAATCTGAAAGCCAAAACGAACACAAATCTTTGAAATTTTTGTTGATCATGGGTGATGTCCATTAGCGCAGGCGGTTGCCGCAGCCGTCGTCTGCGCCAAGGAGGTTGCAGGTTCGAGTCCTGCTTAGACATGGTCGTATTTGTGATTGTCCCTTCATCATCCTAACTTACCCCTTTGAATAATGTTCAACAAAATGTATAATTGTTACCGCCCCTTCACCGTCCATAATTTGTTGTAAAATTTAAAAAACCTCTTTCTATTAAATTTCAGAATTATTTTAATTCTATAATTATTAGTAATCACATTACTTAGTCTTCTTACATAAATCACGATGAGTTTTCACTCTCATGTAGTTGAGCCGTGTTGGCCATCTTGCCGGTGTATATTCACGGTCCGTCATTTCACCACATACACTTAAACTTCGAAATAAATTTTCCTATTGTTCAATAATTGAATAGTACTGTATCTGCATATTTGGCAACATTCTGAACACAGACCACTTTTTAAACAAACTTTTCTCTTCTTGATATCGCGCTATTCACGTCTGATCATTCGCGAAATCCGCTTCTTTTCTCATCTTTTCAACAAATCATGTCTTTTCCTCTCATTGTTTACCTTCGTGCTTCTTTTTGATTGGTCCATTTTCATCACCGGCTTTCGACTGATTCCGCTGAACACGAGCTAAGCTGCGAGCGTTGGGCTGGTCGCAACCTGAGACGCAGGCCTGGGACGTGGCGCAGTGCGGCTCTCGGCGAGTTTCCATGAACTACTATGCTTACGGGACCCGCGCACGTTACAACGCGGGGCCACATGACGCCGTGTTTACATCTACACTACACGGCAACAGAATGATGGCTGACGATGGCACTAATGACAACAGAATGACGCCGTGTTTACATCTACACTACACGGCAACAACGCCGATGGGTGTGCATTTTCCTATGTGGAAAGGTGGAAGTGGAGGGACAACTTTAAGACGAGTACTCTGAGATGTGTCAAAAGTGAAAATTCAAAGTCAAAAAGCCTGATATTCTGGAGCATATTGCGGCAGATAATATGCTAAAATGTTCTGTAAATGATATTAAGTTCAAACCGCCTGATATCAATTTCAGAATAATACTAGGAATTTCTTGCTTGCATTAGCAATATGGAGATTCGACGGTTCGACACTAGGTTGAAGAATGTTGTGTGTTTGTAGCACAATAAAAAATACACTACGAGTTTCAATTTTTAATAAGATTGTGAATCGTAGATAGTTTTTGATATCTTCCAAATCGTAATCCGACACTTCATACGTGGCTTTTTTCTGCTAAAAAGATTAACTTATAATTGTCAGTCAAGTGTTAACGTGTCTACATGTTTTGTTATTCTTACTTTTCCAGTGCTACTGTCTTCTGGTCGGATTTATCTACCTGAATAAGACATTGGGATTCGAACGTTGGAATGGTAAGTTTGCAATTCGTACATGACTCACGCAGACGTGAATTACTTAATATTGCTTACAGAAATATGTCGAGAAAACGTGCTTGCGTAGAGTTTGAAATAGGCGCTTGATATGCCTTCCTTCACTGACTGTCGTAAATATTGTTCCCTGGACCAGTGAATGTGACGAAAGGGTTTCTTCCTAGATGGATGGGTCCCCAGGCTAAATGCACCGAAAAATACTTGTAGGAAAATTCAATAGATCGCAGACTATCACAGGGGAATTTACTTTACTGATTACGTCTAAATCAATAGTCCGATTTTCAATTTGCAAACGGCATTTGACGCCTTTTTTAAAATAGAATTTATGCTACGATCGCCTTTTTCCAAAATCTAGCAAAAACGCGAATTTGAAATTAGTTCTCAAACTTCCGAGAACAAATTTAAAAATGTGGGCCTCATAGCGCGAGGCGACATGCTTACTGAATCCAACGCCGTGATAATCATGCAAAATCGAACGAGTAGGAGTGTCGTAAAGTGAAATGTACGAAAAACACCTCGCCCCCACCCCACTTTCCCTTCTGCACCCTGTTGCGTCACCTACCCCGCCCGTCGTGGGCCCTCTGACAGCGCGGTGGCACGGCAAGACCCGTCGGTTAAAGCGGTGCTCCGTCTAAGATTAATTTTTAGCTCTGCAATAATTCAGCAATTAAAAATAACAGTATCATTTTTAGCTTTATAGGTACTGGCTGCGATGACGCAGTTATGCTTTGTATTAACAAATAACTGAGTTGACACCCTTATGATCATCTTCTTCTCCCTACTCCAGGCATGGTTCATGACCTGTTCTTACTTCTACCAATTTCATTTCCATAACGAATCTGCCCCTGTGTCTTCTACCTCGCGTTCTACACATAAAACGCTTGCTTTAGAATAAATGTCAGCCCATGTATCGAAGTCATTCCTCCCATCACTCCCTGAAGTCAGAAAGATAGTATTTTGCCATTGATTGCTTGAACATTTAATTTTCATCTTATTTCGCGTCGCGCTTCTGGCCTGTAGTCCTAAGGCGAGAGAGACAACTCGCATAGTCGAGACTTACGAGCACAACCGCATGGGTGGACAAATGAGCATTCAAGCACGAAGATTTCATTCGTTATCGAATACCGCCAAGCGATTTTCGCCGCTAACTCATATACCGCTAGTTCCACGTGACAGTGGCTCCCGCGCTGGAGAATGGCCGTCGGCAAACACATTCGTTAATTTGTTTTGGCCGCGTACAACGAATTCCGCTTGCCTAGGTGCATTCGCGAGCTGCACCGCATGCTAACGCCCGCTCTCGGCACTTGAACCGCAACACCTGCACTTCCCAACCGTTGCCTCCGTGTACAGACCGTGTCATTATATAACTATTCAATTATAAACTGAACTAAAAATATAGGAATATTTTGTTTCTCTACGAAAAATCTCAATGTGTGTTTGTGTGAGAAGTGTGTGTGTGTGTTATTTTTGGCCTGTAATACATCGAAAATGAAAAACTGTAATCATTATTTACGAAATATGTAACGTAATTTCATCCTTTACTTTACGAGATAAATCGTAAAAGAGGAAAAATCAAGATTGTAGAAGATAAACCATGGAACTCTACAATATAACCGGATGACGCAGAAATCCTGGTGCCAGCCGTGATTATTCCATCTCCCTTTCGCGTCGAGCAAGCAGTATATTTTTCTGGAACTTTTGGATTTTTCTTTTCATCCAGATCTACTCTGCTTAAGACAGGTTATATTATTTGTAAAAATATTTAAAATGACCAACTGGCCACACGTCATACTTTTCACAACTGCGTATAATGCTTTTTTTCCGTCAAATGCCATCACTTTGGTCTTCGTATTTGAAATGTTTAAATAATATTCTTTGTGATTTTGATGAAATTAATAAAACAGACTTTGTAAATTATCTTTTCAGATCAAAATTATTTTTGTATAATAAATATCACGCAATCACGTTACGGTCGTTTAGGAATGTGCCGCACATTTTTCCAGCATGTTAACTTCAGATGCAAAAAGACGAACAAACAGTCAGAACTATTGGGTAGCTATAAAAAATCTAGTAACCTACATGATATAGTTACCATAGGGTAAAGTGAATGAGAAACGAAATAAAAGAAAAGTTTATAATTCTATCTAAGAGTGAAAAAGAAATTCGTGCACACACACAGGGAGTGACTGACTGACTGACAGACGGACGGAGTAACTGAACGAACGGAGTGACTGACGGACGGAGTAACTGACGGACGAGTAACTGACGGACGGAGTAACTGACGACGGAGTAACTGACGGACGGAGTAACTGACCGGACGGGAGTAAACTTGGACGGACGGAGTAACTGACAACGCAGTAAACTGACGGACGGAGTAACTGACGGACTGAGTAAACTGCCGGACGAGTAAACTGACGGACGGAGTAACTGACGGACAGAGTAACTGCCGGACGGAGTACTGACGGACGGAGTAACAGACGGACAGAGTAACTGACGGACGGAGTAACTGAGCGGACAGAGTAAATGACAGACGGAGTAACTGACGACAGAGTAACTGACGGACGGAAGTACTGACGGACAGAGTAACACTGAGCGACGGAGTAACTGACGGACAGCAGTAACTGACGGACGGAGTAACTGACGGACAGAGTAACTGATCGGACAGAGTAACTGACGGACAGAGTAACTGACGGACGGAGTAACTGACGAGACGGAGTTAACTGACGGACGGAGTAACTGACGGACAGAGTAACTGACGGACAGAGTAACTGACGGACAGAGTAACTGACGGACGGACTCACAGATGGACGGACGGACTGACGGATGCCGAGGGACTGACGAATGGACGGACTGGACGGATGGACGGACTGACGGACGGGAACTGTCGGACGGACTGACGATGACGGACTGACGGAAACGGACTGACGACGGACTGAAGGACGACGGACTGAAGACGGACGGACTGAGGAGACGCGACTGACGGACGGACGACTGACAGACGGACGAACGACAGACGGACAGACGGACAGACGGACGCACTGACGGACTGACGAACGGACTGACGGACGCACGGACGGACGCACGGACGGACTGACGAACGGACTGACGAACGGACTGACGGACGCACTGACGGACGCACTGACGGACGCACAGACGGGCACGCACTGACGGACGCACTGACGGACGCACTGACGGAACGCACTGAACGGGACGCACTGACGGGACGCACTGACGGACGCACTGACGGACGCACTGACGGACGCACTGACGGACGCACTGACGGACGCACTGACGGACGCACTGACGGACGCACTGACGGACGCACTGACGGACGCACTGACGGACGCACTGACGGACGCACTGACGGACGCACTGACGGACGCAATGACTGGACGGTGGACTGACTGACGGTCGCATGACGGACAGACAGCGGTCTAATGGACGGTCGCCTTGACGGACTAACGATCGGCCTCACGGACGGACGGTCGCTTAAAGAACGGACGTCGGCCTGACAGACGGACGGTAGGCCTGACAGACGGACGGACGGTCGTTTAAAGAACGGACGGTCGGCCTGACAGACGGACGGTTAGACCTGACAGACGGACGGTCGACCTGACGGACGGACTTTCAGCCTGACAGAGTCGGCCTCACGGACGGGCAGTCGGTCTGACGGACGGACAGTCAAAATAGTACAATAATCAAAATAGTCAAAATAGTTATAATACTCAGGATAGTCAGATCGATTTGTTGAACGGATCCGTCAGTTTGATCGAATGCTGGGTTGATTTCCCTCACTTGTTCGAAGTGCTGGGACGCTCCCCACTTGATCGACTTGCTGGGTCGATCCCGCTTGATCGACTTGCTGGTCGCATCCCCACTTGATCGACTTGCTGGGTCGATCCCCACTTGATCGACTTGCTGGGTTGATCCCCCACTTGATCGACTTGCTGGGTCGATTCCCCACTTGGTCGACTGCTGCGGTCGATCCCCCACTTTGATCGACTTGCTGGTTCGATCCCCACTTGATCGACTTGCTGGCGGTCGATTCCCTCACTAATCGACTTCTGGTCGATCCCACTGATCGACTGCTGGGTCGATCCCCCACTTGATCGACTTGCTGGTCGATACCCCACTATGATCGACTTGCTGGGTCGATACCCCACTTGATCGACTTGCTGGTCGATCCCCCACTTGATCGACTTGCTGGGTCGATCCCCCACTTGATCGACTTGCTGGGTCGATCCCCACTTGATCGACTTGCTGGGTCGATTCCCCACTTGATTCGACTTCCTTGGGTCGATCACGCCACCTGATCGACTTGCTGGGTCGATCCCCCACGTGATCGACTTGCTGGGTCGATCCCCCACTTGATCGATCTTGCTGGGTCGATTCCCCCACTTGATCGAGTCTTGCTGGGTCGATCCCGCACTTGAACGACTTGCTGGGTCGCATCCCCCACTTGAACGACTTGCTGGGTCGATCCCCCACTTGATCGACTTGCTGGTCGATCCTCCACTTGAACGACTTGCTGGGTCGATCCCCCACTTGAACGACTTGCTGGGTCGATCCCCCACTTGATCGACTTGCTGGGTCGATCCCCCACTTGATCGGGTTGTTGGGTCGATCCCCCACTTGATCGACTTGCTGGGTCGATCCCCCACTTGAACGACTTGCTTGTGGATCCCCCACTTGACGACTTGCTGGGTCGATCCCCCCAGTTGATCGACTTGCTGGGTCGATCCCCCACGTGATCGACTTGCTGGGTCGATCCCCCACTTGGTCGACTTGCTGGGTCGCATCCCCACTTGATCGACTTGCTGGGTCAATCACCCATTTTCAGCGACTTGCGCTGGGTCGATTCCCCCTCCCCCTGATCGACTTCATTGGGTCGACCACCCACCTGATCGACTTGCTGGGTCGATCCCCCACTTGATCGACTTACTGGGTCGATCCCCCACGTGATCTACTTGCTGGGTCGATCC